GGAAATTTCCATAACTAAATGTGTACAATACATACTTTAGCTAACCTATAACTGAATAGGAAGTATAGGCTTGGAATGTCCAGTTTACCCTGTAGGTTGCTCTTATTTCTTGATGCAAAATGTCACAGGCAAAGGTGAAGAAGCTACCAGTTTTCTACTGTACCTCTTTGTTTAGAAGGAGATACCACCAATGCACTATACTTCTCTTTTAGAGGAAATGCTGAAGGAAAACCTTGGTTATCAGCTTATTTATATACAATGCTACTTTATGAAATCTTCATGTGTAACTTCCAAATTTCTCTTTGTGAACTTGTCATGGCCATCAAGTGTTATACTGTCATATAATTTTCCTGTATATTCTTAAAGAGACATTGATTTCCAAATTAGATCAGGTTAGTAAACACTACCTGAGTTGTACCCAAATCTGAAAGATAATTCAACATAAAATATTCAAAGTAGTATACTTTTCACTAATACCCATAATGTTTTTCGCATAAGAGGTTTTTCAAATACCCAAACCCCTGGCAATTCAGAACAGATTCAGGAAAGAACATTACTTCTTACTCAAGAATTAGTTCCAAACTAATACAGATGATGAAACAAGAAAGCATACATGGGAAATAAAATGTGAAACAGATGGCAGGAAGCCCTATATGAGGAATTATATATTCATAGATGATCCAGCCAAAGAAAGATATTCTGGTACAAACACTAGGTCCATTCAAGAGATGGTCAAGAAGAAGGATGAAGTGAAATGGTCTGACCAATAACTGGACATCACAATGCAAAAAATATATTTAAAGTGTGATGTAATAACATTAAGATGTAATAACATTAAGATATTCTGGTCCCTAGCAAGAAATGAAAACAGAACATGCATTATTCATCCTTATTTGCATGCAGCAATTCCCATAAAAATGAATCAAGTGGAACATGCATTCAAAGGCTGCACGGACTCCAATATGTTACAAGAAAGGGCTTTATGGCAGAGCTATACCGTTCGTGGGTTTATGACAACAGTAGGAAAGGATGAATGAAGGTTCAGAATATGTGTGCTGAGTATACCAAAGAATGTATTTATTAACACCCAGACTATTTTTCCACATCTGATTTATTTTTAGTGTCTCTGAGGTCTAATGCATTCTGAAAACTGTAGTCAATCTCCTTCATTTTTACTTCAGTCTTCCTTGTGGCAGCTGTGTACACTTTGCATTTCATAAGCACTTAAAACAATAACATGTATTAGGGTCTCAAAATTGAAATTAAGAAATTTCAACAGTTCACAAAAAATCAGATTTAAGGGTTAATGGAGACAGATTTATGCAGCACGCTAGTGACATTTCCATTTCTCATTCTAGTCAACATAGCACAATGACGACTTTCATAAAGTATGTGGGGACTACTGGCTTTAACCACACATTTTAAAAATATTAAGACAAAATAAAAATAACCTCTTCCTAGCCTTTTTAAAAATTTTGATTTTGTATTAAAAACTGTATGAAGATGAAAGGACTGGAGAATCATTATTTTTATTTTATTGAGCATTTACTATGTGCTCGCCACTATTCTAGCAGCTCCTTTAGTCCTCAGGATCCTCTAAGAATTGCTTACTGTTACTTCTCCCTAGTTTATAGATGAGGAGGTTAAATAAGCTTGCTATAGTCATAGAGTCAAGTAACAGATATAGAATCCAAACCTAGCTCCAAAATTCACTCACATAACTGTTACACTATATTATTTTTCTTAACACATCCACATTTTTCTAACACATCCATAAGCACTCTACTTTAATTCCTAACACAATTTGGGAAGGCACTGCTGACTGGCAGTAAGGGATCTAAGTCTGTAGCCTCCTACTAAAGAATTCTTTGCCTTGAATTAGTTTATTTGCCTGTTATTCTCCATTATCTAAAAATAAAGAATACCTCTTTTGAAAATATTTCCCTTACTGGACCTAAGTGAGTAAAACAGACTCCGATTACTCACAAAACTATTCTCTCTAAATTTATACACACAACTGAATGAATGAATGAATGATGTGTGTGTGTGTGTGTGTGTGTATAGGTGTATGTACGTGTGTGGTATTTACCCCTCCATCTAGAGTCAACAAGAATGGCTTTGAAACAAAATAATCTAATATTTAATTCCTCTACCACAGCTATACTGCAAATTTATAATATTTTAAGGTAGTAACTTACCAAGTTATCTTATTGCCAGATATTACATTTAACTCCTTGATATCCAACTCATATTGTTTTTCTTTATATACATTTTAAAATTTTAAAACCTGTATGCATTACCCAGTCAAAATATTAAATTGAAAGGTAGAAATTTTTAAATAAATAAAAAGTTCAAGATATTTCAAAGGCCAGTGTTTTCCAAACTTCTTCACGATTTTTACCATATCTGTATACTCATTTGTATACAGTCTACTGATGTAAATGTTAATCACATTTAATAAATACCTTCACAGCAACATCTGGACTGGTGTTTGACTAAACAACTGGATACTGTAGCCTAGTCAATTAGACACATAACATTAACCATGACAGCCACTCATATGTAAATTTTAAATTTTGGAAACTCTGAATATCATAGCTGCCCACATGTAAATTTTAAATTTTGGAAACTATGAATTTCGCAGAAGACCAATATTAGTGAAACTGGTTTTGCTATCCTAAATCCTAAGTAACATATCTTAAAGCCTCAATTATTCTGCAAATCTGGACATATAAAATCTTGAATAATTGTACAAAAACTCTTTCCAAATAATAAACACAATTCTACTGAGGAAGAACACTATAATGTAAAGACATTTAAAGCTTGAATTTGAATTTGCGTACCACACAAAATACTGCAGTATCCTACATCAAGTGCCATTTCCGCAACTGGAAAAAGAGCCTTGGCCTGACATCATGCTGTTGGGATGGCTTTCTTCTAACAGGGCAAGGGACAGGGAAAATTGGGAAAGTCACTACTGTACCCAGAAGCAACATATTAATATCAAATATAAATCTGATAGTACTGCATACATTACATCAGTCATCACATTCACACCTAATTTCATTACAAAATTAAGACTGGAAACTTCCAGCATTCTGGCATGTAGTTTCAGGGCACATCAAAACTTCACGTCACCTGAGGCGATCAAGGCAAAATTCCAGACTGCCAACAGCACTATCTAATTTGACTATACAGTTACATATTTTTGCTGCAGAGATAAAGAGTACAGCAGTGATGTTTGCTTGCATCTGCATGTTACCAGATAAGTGGGTTCCAAGGGCTTGTTTTTCCAACCCTCACTCAATAGAATTCTGAGATCACCAGTTCTGTACTTACTTTCTGTGGGAGAAGCTGACACTCGGTTGTACTTAATTTAAGTGCTCTGCCCTCAGCAATTAAGGCTAATTTGTGGTATATACACTTTTCTTAAAATACTTTCTTGAGCATATTAATCCAAAATACTACCACCAACATATTTAAAACAATTGTAATATAATATTGATTTCTGTATCCCTGCTGTTTAGCAACACTTTCAACAGTTATAGATTAAACAATATCAGATTGAATAACTATCCTTTAAATATTCTATGTGCTTGGCCTTTTCTTATATATGCATACATCAGTCAGCTATGCCATCATTCAACAGAAATTAGTGAGCATTACTTTGTTCTAGGCATTATTCTGTTCCATGGGCACATAGAACATTCACAGAAAAATAGGACACAGCACCTTAAGAAGCTGACAATCAGCTAAGGGAGAAAGAAAAGTAACAGATTAAAATACAGTAAAGATTAGTGTTGAGTACCATGGGAGTTTGGGAAACTCCATCTCCATATCTCTTAGAATGACCAGGGCTCAGACTCAGGTAAAATAAAGCTACTTATGAATCAGTGTAAGGATTAAAAGACAGCACTGAAAGCCCAATTTTAAAGTATGATTTTATAATGATACAAATCTATATAATAAACACAGACTGTTCTCGTTTAATCTTACTATATCATGTCATTCTGATTATAATCATTTTGATTGCAATAAATGATATAACTGAGGCTCAGAGGAATTCTTCTAGCCAAGTTTCTTGAGTACTTTGGTTTCAGAATAATTGTTCCCCAAAGATATCCACATTCTAATCCCTGAAACCTGCAAATATGTCACCTTACATGGCAAAAAATGATTTTGTGAATGTGATTAAATATCTTGAGATGGGAGATTATCCTTGATTATCCTAGTAAACCCAGTAAGAAGGGTGCAGGAAAGTCAGATTCAGAGGAGATATGACAACAGAAGAAGAGTTGGGAGGTAGGGGCCCTGAGGTGGGGAGCCTCTGGAATCTGGAAGAGCAAGGAACTGGCTTCTCCTCTAGAACTTCTAGAAGGAACACAGCCCTCTGGACACCTTGATCTCCAGACTGTAAGATAACAAGTGTGCATTGTTTTAAGTCACTAATGTGCCTGGCATTATTATAATGCTTTGCATGAATGAAATCATTTCAGCCTCACCATTAGTCAGCAGCTGCTAAGGGACTTATACTTAATCATCACAACAATCCTTACAATGTAGTACTAGTTTTATCCCTGTTTACAAGTGTGAAAACCAGGGCACAAAGACTTAATTTGCCTAAGGTCATACAGCTAGTCACTGACAAACCTTGAGCCTGAACCCAAGCAATCAAGGCTGCCTCTTGATTCAAAGTTGTCTTAATCTGTGTTTCCTCATAAAAGCAGAGCCTGAGATAAAGGTCTGTACGCAGATAATTGACGTATAGACTAGGAATTAGGAATAGGCACTTGTAATAGTGAAAGAGAGAAAAAGGAAAAGCCAGTTCAAGGATGCCTTATCAGGCTGTCTCATGATAACAACTGGGGTTTCATCCCACTGGGTACTCTCTGAGGAGTCTGGACAATGCATCTCAGAATTGGCTACTCAAGGGACAACAGAACGAAATACTTATCCACCAGCTCACATTCCTTGTCAATCTAAGTGTTCCTCACCGTTTCATGCCTGCACATCCACCAGAATAGTTGAGTGGGTTTCCATACTCCAACGTGGAGGCAGCTGAGAAGCTGCGTGGTGACAGATACTCAATGCAGCAGAGGTGAGGTTCAACCAGGGTCCACCTGGCCCAGCTGGTTGCTACAGCGATAACTGGAGAGAAAAAATGTAGGCTGAAAGACTGTAACTTTGGGCATAAAAGGAATCTGACATAGCTAGTCTTTTGATTCCAAATTCAAGATTCTTTCTATTGTATCATCATGCATTTATTCATGTAATCGCTTATTTTTGCACTGATATGACCTGTTTGCCTCTGTGAGAACAGTTGACCAATAAAGTGTATTCTTACAATATATCCTATAAAAGGTGAGTTATGCTGTTTTACATGGATTACTTTTGCCTCACTAAATGGAAGTTAAATTCCTAGAAGGCAAATGTAATAACATATACCACCCTTGATTTTTCCACAATAACCAATTCAACAACGGACTCAAAGCAGGAACTCAAAAAAATGTACTAATTATGATCACTTGAATACAACTTTTCACTTGTCTTATTAATAATTACTGCCAGAATTTAAATAGTCCCACTAAGGATTTTTACAAAATACTTTCTTCATGTTCTCATGATCCTTTCAAATCTGTTTCAATTCTCTTTTCTTCTAATTTTAATAGCTTGATGTTTTTCATCCAATATATCACATAATTTGATAATTTGCTTTCTAGCGCTAGACAGTAGAATCACCAAGGACCAAGCCTGGAAACCCTGAAAAATCTTTCTTTCCAGATGGACCACAAACCAAATTGAACAAAATAAAGCTTCAAAAATATTCCCAAGTATAAGTCTATTTTTATACAACTGTCATTTTTATAAAAAACATTTCTTCTCAATTGGACAAAATGTACACTGTAGCAGACCCTCAAACAATGATGGTATTAGAATATGTAGGATAGTGTGGTGGTGACTATCAGTTATTAATTTGAGTCCGATTATAAAGGTATAATGGAATTAATCAGTTGTGATATACTATCATGTAACATATCTGGTCAGTAAGTGAAAAGCAGCCAAGTATTTTGTATATTAGCATCATAGGAACATTTCTTAGGATACAGCACTATTTTTTTTAAGCACTGTTTATTTTCCTCATTTTCAAGACAAAAATATTCCCACGAAGAAAAATCCATACTAACACACTCAAAGAAATACAGAAAGTAAACCTTGTTTTAAACATTTAAATTCGCTTGAGATTTTTCAATCTCTTCTTGGTTTTACACCTATCAGAACAGTGTCTGTTTTAGGAAAATAAGGCAAAAAACTCCCACTGAGAATTGCTGTCAATTCTGACTACAAAAATTAAAATGAAATCATATGCCAAAATTTTTTATTATTTGGAAGACACTAATCTGTATAACTGGCTAAAGTTACTTTGAAAATGTATTATTGAGTATAATTTCATTTAATGGATAGTTGCATATAAATAATTTTCTGTACGTATATATCATACACGAGTTTTTTCTATATATTCATTACTTTAAAATCATTTAAATTTACTGACATAAAGAAATTTATCTTTAATTTTATCTGCATTTAATAGAAATATTTTCTAGAACACAACTGCACAAAAGTTTTAAAAATTAAGACTCATTTTTTTTAAGTAATTAACACTTGTTAAGGATAAGCCACATACTTAGGATTTTGGAGGCTCTAGCATTTTGTGAGACTCATTAATCATGATCAAGTACACCGTGAAAAAAACATCCTATGCCAATGAAAAGAACCATTGAGCTATGGTAATAAATCATCAATTCACAAGGAAATGTGGGACTTCAGTTTTTATGGGCTCATCGAAAAGACCTGCATACCATAAACACATATGCTTGGTATTTAGTGCTATTGCTTTTAGAATATGGGGAAAGGACAAAAAAATCCTACCTTTCAAATAAAAAGATTAATCCAAGATTCTAATTTTTTAAAGTCATAGACCTATAAGCTTCTTAAGAACAGGTATGGATCTTTAAGGAAGGCTCTTTGGAAGCCTGACATAATTATTCAAATGGTAGAGAACAGAAATTTAAAACCTATTTTTCAAATGTAAGAACTCGATCTTTGAAGAGCAATATTTTTAAAAAGTAAACAAATATTTTCTCATGTTTCATTAGAAGAAAAGAGGCTATTACATTGTAGTTGCAAGTTGTAATTTTATATGAATAAGTTTTTTATTCATACTGATGTTATTCTTGTTCACCTACCTGTTAGGTTCCCGTATTTTCCCTGTTCCTACAGTGGGATTCCAGAGAATGGTCTCCAATTTCTGAACAGGTCAATGAGCATGTACTAAAGAATAAGATTCAGTAGAGCTTCCTGAATGCTGGGAACACCAGAGAAAATGTGTGAAACACAGCATATTGGAACCTATCCTATACTGGCCCGTCTCTGCCTGTTTGAAATTACATGTAATTATCTTGTAGGAATATTGTTTTGACCATCTGTGTTAAATAATTCAATTGTCTAACAGCACTAAAAAGTATGCAATCAATAACAGGAATGATATTAAACTCTGAAGAACCTGAGATCTGCTGTAATGGGAAAGTAGACCAATGGAGATCAAAACCCAAAGAAATATAAAACAGAAACCTTTACACAACATAAAAACTTAGCCATCCAACATCCCATCCAATAATTAAAATAAACAAAGTATCCATTTATCATGTTACAGTGTCTGGAATTCTTAGTGGAATAGTTTCCGACTGTGTTCTGAGAAATTTCCTTTGTTCACTCACACAAAATAATCTCAAACCAGATGTACGATGATCAGCCAGGTTTAGGTGGGAGAAGACTTTTATTCTCATTAACCTGTTAACAGATAAGTATGTCAGTAATGCCATGTAGTACCATTTGACTTAAGGGAATAGAAGGATATATTCCTCCAGTTTCAATAATTCCCTAATATATATTATGTGTTGTCCTTAAAACTTCTTTACATTTCAGTACAGATATACTTTCATCAAATACTTTTCTTCTAGAATCTACTTCCATGTTCTTTGTTTTTCAAAATTTCTATTATAATTACATGTGTCCTCAGCTAAGTGGTATGCTAAAATTCCAGAAGAAAAAAAAGTGAAGAAGAAGAAACTAGGGACAGGGCCAAGTGTAGGAGGTAAACTCTGCTTCAATGCAGAGTGATAATTTCAGTTAATAAGGAGGTATGAATCAAATGAAATACAAGAAAATTACTTAATTTTTTTGCTGATCTTATACAAAATGCTGAAGTTCAGATAATGTAAAACTGCAATGGTGCCATCAGTGACAAACTGGTTACTGAAGATTATGAAATCAAAGAGGATTTAGCATAGCTCAAGATTAGACACTACACCAAAAAAGTTGTTATATTCTGTATACTCTGAGAAAATTTGTATCTGAAACTTGATAAAGGTTTTCTTCTGCTTGACAGCAATCCTAAAAAACTGACAAAAGATTACCAATAATGAGTTGTAAAGATAAAAGAGGCTTTTCTAAATTATCAACCATGCTAGAGGAAAAATTGAACTACTCTTCTATTTTCCTCTATGAAAAGTATTACAAAATTATTTTAATTAGAAAAAGTGGTCAAAATGTATGTGAGCAAAAATGTAAAACAACAGTGATGTAGAGATATAACAGACAGCTAATTAATAAAAACATAATGTTCTAATTACAAATTTTATGATAATTGTACTATTTGTAAGTTTTCTTAAGTTTAGTTTTTTGTGTGATTTTTTTATTCTAAATAAATAATCACTTCTATCTAATTCACTACCCCTTTTCTTAGAGAGGATCCCCAAATTGTATATGTTTTAGGCTTCACAGATCCTATAACCATCCCTATTTTGAAACTGAACACCAATCAGCAACTTGGAAGGAACACAAAATGGCAGAGACACCAAAAAAAAAAAAAAAAAAAAGCAGCCGGCAAAGGAGGCAAGAGTTACCAGGCTTAGCCAATGACTGATGATTAGAATTCTGGGAAGCTGCAGCATAGCTCAAGAACTAGGATGCCTCCTTGGTTCTCAGACTGGCCCTTAACTTGGAAAGAATCTGCTGTGTAAAGGTGGCAACATCACCCTAGGCAAAAGATACCCCATTTTTAGGGGAGGAAGATTATTTCCAAAATCCTACCAGGTGGTCCTGAGATGAGACTCTCAGCACTGTAGAAACGCTCCTCTAATCAACGGGATTATGAATAGTTGTTGGCTAATCAAAAAATAAGATATGGTGGTGATCCACGAAAACGAGATTTTCCCAACATTTCATTTTAACTTGAAATGTCTAAGAGTATATCCCTTAACCAGTTGTTTGATGTAGGGTCAAAGGATTTCCTCTGAATATAGGTCACTGATTGGTATACCACATTTTTTAAAGAAACCATAGCTATACCACTGAGTCAGTAATTTTCAGTTTCATTTTCTGTTAAAACCGAAAAAAGCCTCTCACAAAGTAACTTGCTTGCAAACTCCTTCTATATTTCTATGACTTTTTACAACCATTTATATTAGCATTTTCCATATGAAATTGTCAATTTTAACATTTATGACCTATAAGATGGCCATTTCATAAGGTTAATTTGTAACCTACAAAAACAGCAATATTTATACACTTTGCATGTAATTTGATTCTTACCTTAATTTTTGAGTCTTTAAAACACAATCAATTTACTTTCCATAGAAGAAGCTATCTCTTTCTGAATGTATCTTATGTGGATTTCAGTAATATTTAACTAAATAAATGTGCTGGCAATAACCACAATGTCTATAAATATGTTTAGTGGAATCTGTAATGTGCCACTTAGATCCCCCTTCAGGACTAAAGGACTTGCTCCCCCAGCTCCTGGGAGTGCAGCACAAACAGCCCTCAGCTGCCAGCTCTCCTTGGGAACTGAAGAGAGAGCCGCTGCTTGCGGGAGCCCACAGCCAGTGACCAGTCAACATGAGGGGAGTAAGGTCCAGCCTCTAACCCTCAATTTGACACACCACTAAAGGGTCATTCCAGATCTCAGGAGCTGTTTGTGGTGGTGGATGAAGGCTTTTTGAAACTGTGCTGCAACCCATCGTCTCCCTCTGCTGAAGCCTGTTTTCCTTCCCTTACTTTTTCCAGGTGTTGATTAAAGAGTGCTCCCTAATAAACTTCATGTATGCTAACCTCTAGCTCAGAATCTACTTCCCAGGGAACTTGACTGAAAGTAAAACAACCGACTCTTTATTATAAGTAAATAACTTTAAAATTTATAGGAACAAAGGTGCACAAGAACATCCCAGCAAAGCCAGCTTGCAGGAAGCTTGCCCGTGCTCTGGGCCCTACCTGGGTGGAAAAGAGAGAGATTGGCAGTTTCATATGAATACGAAGACCACACAGTGGAATCAACAAATTTGTCTCCCTCAACAGGTGAGTCAGATCATACACAGTAATCTAATTTACCACTGAGGCGTGTCCATTATATGAGCAGGAAACCCCCAAGGGGCCCAAGGACAGTCTAGCTCACTGTAATGTGAATCTCACCATAAACTGTCTGTCTGAGCAATGCATGTTTGAAATTTACTAAATCCTTGACTCTCTTATTTTCCAAAGTACTTCTCTTTATAAGTAAGAAATTGAAAAGCAAAAGGCATATATTATAGTGGAAAATCATTGTGATTCAAAAAAAAGCTCAAGACATTTATATTCAAGAAGAAATGCACATAATTTTTATGAGCAGTCCATTTAATTGTGTATGTACTAATTCCTCTTACTAAGGAAAAACCAGCATTAAGGCACAGTTTTGCTATTTCCACGTAATTCTAGGCCCATCCTCTGTTCCATGCTCTTTGAAGAGACAGCATAACAATCCCAACAGAGTATTTTGGCTCTCTACTTCAGCAGGGGGAGGAGGGATCTTAAAGCTGAAACCTCATCTTATTACAGACACTGTGGAATAAACTGATCAGTTCAATATATATTTTACTATAGGATCAAAGTTGGAAGTCACTGCTAACCAAATTCTCAAATCAGTCTTTTCTATATTTGCCACATGTAGATACATCTCTGGAGTCTATCTCCTCAGGTGTAAGCACATCATAATCTACAAATGTATCTGAATTTCTATTCTTTTGTAAATTCAAAATAAACTCCAGAAACCAAATAAATATCCCCAGAGTGTTATATCACATCTTTGACTTTGGTGCAGACTGCAGGCATAACCATCATTCTCTATGTCTATCAAGTTAATGTAGGACTCCTAAGGAAAGCAGATAATCACCACATAGCTTTATTTAGTTGAACAAGACAGCCTACATAAGCAAAGTAATGAAATGCATAAGGACTAGCATAAATTCTGGAAATAAATTCCCAGAGGGAGCGGCTAAGTACTACTTTAAAACAACTGCCTATATTCAGATGTCAACTGAAAGATTAAACCAGTGGCTCTGGCCATGTTATCTGCCTCTTACCACCACAGACAATGTGTCTGCGGTGACTGTGTGCGCCTCAGGGGCATCAAGCATCCTGTCGAGCATTCTGTAGAGGTTGATGGTTTGAGGGAATACAGCTGCTTTCAGGGGACAACGCTGCAGATTAAACTTTCAGAATGTTTTTTCCTTTGGGTTATTTTGTACTTGTGGATGGAGAGCCTACTCTCTTATGCCCTCCCTTTATACACACACATGCGTGCACGCACACACTTCATAATGGTGTAATCATTACCAAGCCACGATGATTGTGGTTTCTGAAAGTCAGATGTTGTCTTGACTCGTGACTAATTCAGATGACTAAAATAAATTCAGACAAACACGTTCACGCTATAAAAGGAAAAAGCGAAGCTTTTATATACGGTTCTCTGCTATGCACAAGCAAAGTGTATATATGGAATATGCTGCACAGGTGAAGTGAGAACCTTTTCCACATAGTAGGCTTTAATTTTCAATTTCAAAATAAGAATGAGACTTTCTCAAGTAGAAAAATGGGAGAAGGACACATGAAGCAGATAGAACAGGGAAGGTAATGCATAGAAATGCAAGAGAACAATGGGCATTTAGGGAAGAGCACATCAGCTCCCCAAAAGGCAACAGCTCTGATCTGGCAGTCGCACGCGTTCTCCTGTTCTCCTGCATTATTTGTAATCCACAACACAGGCATCCCTGTGCTTGGCATGTACCCTGGAAATGCTCAGGCCAACGACTCACCAAGACCTAACATGCACAGCATCTCAAACCTGATGCTGAACTCCAAAGACACATTCTCAGAGGGCAGTTTTAAAGATGAATTAAGCAACATTTTTATACCAAGCATTCTAAATTAATAAGAACTGTAGGTGAAATTGAAACAGCATTTCTTTATCTTGTGTTTTCCAATTTGCAGTTCCCCAACAAGATCCTGCTTTGTCACATCTTGATGCCTTTCTGCAACCTGTTCTCCCTGCGGAAGTGTTCCTCTCCATGCTTCTACTCAGACGGGTGCAATCTTCTTTGTGTGCCACATCTGAAAGGCTACCTGCTCTGTTAAACCTTTCTCTACTCCTGCTCTTTAATACTTGAGTAACCTACACTTATCTCTTTTTATGTTTATTGTAATTTGTAAGACTGGTTTCCAAATTTCCCCTCATCCTGTCCTTCTTTCCCTCCTGTGCCACAGATTATAAGATTGTAAAGGGCACAGAGTGCAATTTATTCTTTTTCTATCCCTGGTGCTTACTACAGTACCTGACAGACAGTAGGTTCCCAGAAGATGTATGACAAATGAATAAATAATTTCTAGGCTTGTGCTAGTTGTTCTTTATTTCATTTTGGGAAAACCAGGTGTCTCACTTGGTGAGGATGATGATGCTTGCTGAGATGTAGCACCTCACC